GAACTGATCCATGAAATCGCAGCCTCTGCGCATCCGAGTATGACCCCGTGGTCAATCTCCACCAATCCTTTGCCCCGAGCCTTAACAGGTTCAGAGCACACCTCACCCTCTGATCAGCAGGGCATGAACACGTGAAGAAACACCCCTCCACGTCTGATAACCATCTCATAGCAACGATCGGATCCTGAACTCCATCAAAGGTGGGAGGCTTCGTATTATCGAAGTCCCGATACTGAAAACCTCTACTAGCTCCTCCCCCTGCCGCTGCTACACCGCTGTAGCCGCCGCGGCAGCCGCCTCCGTGAGAGCCGCATAGCGCTCATCAAAATACTCCACCATGGCGGTCTTGATCGACCCAAACAGTTCCGGCAGCTCGGCCCGGAACAATGCACAACCTCATCATGCAGGATCTCACGAATCCTCGCATCCAACTCGCGCGTACTCATCTGACCGATAACCTGGGCGGTACTGACCCGTCCGAACTCCCTCTCCTGCCCGATCCTGACCCGGATCCACTCCCAGCATGCCTGAAATCTCCATACTGAAAATAAACCAAAAATCTCAGACACTTCCCACTATCCGGGAACCAACTCTCAACCCAACCCTAGAGGTCATGGTTTCCCTGATACGCGTATGGGTCCTGTGCTTTCAGTAGTACGGGCCCATACTACCTTCCACACCTACCCATATTTGTATGAAGTACTACCACAACACCCTAGAAAACATACATAACAACGCTCTATCCTCACTACTAGAGGAACACTGGAAATCTCACAGAGGAAACCCTAGGCTAGCAGGCATCAAAACAGGCAACATTATCATGAAATCCTGAAGATCCCTAGCCTAACACTAGCATGCTGTTCTATCAAAGCTCAATAAAACAAATATCATATATGGTATTTTGGGGTTACTTACTGGCTCCGGCTGATCGTAACTCCACGTCCGCCTTTTACTTAATTTGAAAACCATTTTAATTTCTCTTTTAAAAACCCTCCTCGATTTGAGACTGGAGTCACATGAGTGTTCCTCCAATTCACTCAAACCTAGGCTCTAATACCAACTTGTAACGACCAAAATTTCAACAAATTTAAACTTTTCAAAAACATCCCAATTCATTAAGTTAATACAAAAAGGTTTTCAATACATTTATTATCAGAGTATTCCTAGGTGCATATCATAAAACATAAACACAAGGAGCGGTATGATGACGCCTTTGCCTTGCCACGGTCTCTTGAAGAACCTGAAAAACATTAAACCACAACTGTAAGCCCGAAAGCTTAGTGAGATACCCCCAAAATACGAACCACATATACGCCCTTCCGGGCTACGACCTTCCAATCCAAAACATATTGCCTTCTCGCCCATAACATATTGCCTTCCGGCCCATAGCATAAAAAGCATACATAACATAACAGAACATAGAACAGCCATGCATATCGGGTCTACTTTTGTGACTGGTCCCACCGTATCGGGCCTTCACTCCACCGGGTCCACCCTCCGAGTCTAGTCATGTCCTTCGAGTCTACAGTGTGGTTGGTCTGCCCGCACCGGGCCTTCAACCCACCTGGTCCACTCTCTGAGTCTACAGTATGACTGGTCCGCCCGCATCGGGCCTTCAGTCGGCCTGGTCCACTCTCCGAGCGTCGGCACATCTGGTCCGCCCTCGTAGGGCCTACAGCCTATCCGGACCGCTCGCTGGGCCTCGGAACAACCGGTCCGCCCTGGGTATCTTGGCCTACAGCACAAAGCAGGACCCGCCTCAACCCAACTCTAGTCCAAACAAGCATATGCACATAACATACAATCATATAACAGTTCATAGTCAACAAACCGATCAAGTAGATCACATAACATATCATTACCGTAACCACGTTACCGACCTAACCGGTCACTAGGATAGCCTGACTCTACATATCGGGAAACCGACCTTAACCAGGTCTCTAGCATATACCATCCTAGCTACCAGGAGGCAGACATATCAAAGCAATAACGTAACAACAGTATCCAAATCTCAATCCAATAAAGGGT